ATCACATAAAATTTATTTTAGAATGTTTAACACATGACCAGGAGCTATTATGTTTCATACTGTTTCCAGGGAAAACTTTTCCAAGAGAAAAGGTAATCCCAACCTTGGAATTTTCACACTGGTGTGCCTACCTGAAATAACAGGATAAGAGCAAGGCAAACCTTGTCATACCTTCTTTCTTTCAGTACTTAGGCGTCAATGTAAAATGATACGTTAAGAGTAAAAACAGCCAATTGTGGTGCACAGCTATAATCCCAGCACTCTGGGAGGGTGAGGCAAGGGAATCATAACCTCAAGCCAGCCTGAGCAATTTAGCTACTAGCTTGTTTGTTTGTTTGTTTTTCTATTTGTTAACTTTGTATCTTTAAAGCATTTGAAAGATCTTTAATCAGAAAAATCTGCATGCTACAGTGTTTTAGTCCTTAAAAAAAAAATTGATGGACTGAGAAGGCCCTAAAGCTAAGCTGTAGGTTTATGTTATATGATTTTGTGAAAATAGATTTTTTTAAATTAGGTAGATCATTTGACTCTTATTTCCCCAAAAGTGTCAGAGTAGAGGGTATTCTCCTTGTCTGATTTGGTGCCTACCCACCAAGTATAAGTCCTGGCTACCACAGGCCACTTGAAGTTCTGACCCACACTGTAAATGTCAGGCCACCATCATAAGAACAGCTACGAAAGAACACTTAAAGAGTGTGTGAAGGGATCCACACTGCATTCTTTGTTTGGAACTCTAGTTTTCCTTTGTTCGAATTCACATGATTCTGTGTGTGTGTGTGTGGTGCTGGGGATGGAATCTGAGGTGTTATGAATGCTAGGCAAGTGCTTTACTGATGAGCTACAACCTTGCCTCTATGATTTTTATTAGACTAGAGGTCATAGACTTTTTCCATATGTATATATTATATACAAATATATATATATATATATATATATATTCCTACTTTGATTATTTTTATAATAGTACATAAAGCACAGAAGCACAGGGCTGAAAGCACCACTCAAATGCACATAGTTAAACATAACCTTGATTAACAAATCTTGTTATTCATGGATGCCAGCTCAGTTAATAAGTGTTTGTGGCTTGGATACTGAACTGGAGGTTAATGGTGAGGTGGAAGCAATTGCAGAATCCAGATTTTTAAGACAAACACACATCACACCCGAAAAGGCATGCATGGAATCAGGTGTAGTCAGTCGGCTGTGGTGATGGCTTTGGGTGTTCTCCTTCACTGGTCCAGCTGTGAACAGCCTCTAGAGCTGGCACCTTCCGAGCAGAACCTCTCCAAGGGCCTTCGGAGCCTCAGACAGCCAAGTAGCAGGCTTGAAATTTCTAAAAATTAAAGTTGTATTTGACTTTTCTAAATTAAATTTGTAGAGCACATGGGTTAATTATGCAGTTACAAGGAAGCATGCGTACAAATTTAACAAATGTCTATACCCATCTCGTCATAGCTGTCAGATGTCAGCTGTGTGGGTCAGTTTTCCCCTCATTCTCATGGGCCTTCTATGCAAAATGAACACGAGATGCCATTTGAAAACTGCATTGTTCTTTTGCCACTAGGGGATATTTTTATGTTGGAGAATCTGAAGCTCTGGTACATTCCTTCACTGATTTGCTTTCCTCCCTGTGGGATGGATAAAAAGCAGGAGCTTTCTTCATGTGAACTGGTAATCAGGTCAGGCCTGAAAGTAAATAAGAGTCTGAGGAAGTGGATAAGTCAGTCACATCCTTCAGGGGCACCAAAAGAATGTGGGAAGACTGTCTTTTTCCTCCTCGATTCCTTGAGAGACAAAGGGAAAAGGCTGGCGTCTGAAGTGTGCGGCCTCACAACGGCCTCTGGGTCGGCAGCCAGAGCTGGGTGCGATCTTTGCGCAGACTGTGGCCCGGTGTGTCATGGGTCGTGTGGTCTCACATGTGAACAGGAAGGTGAGCATGGTGAACTTTTGCCTCAGTTGTGCCATCCATCAGGGAATAAATGGAGCACATCAACGTGTGCAGCTGCGCACGGAGGCGAGTGGCTGCATCCTCCTCACACAGGGGCCTTTGTCTCCAACGTGATCTGGCATCGATGAGATGCACTCGGCCTGGGCTTTGTGGCAAATTGCTAACCCATTATCACACCAGAACACAGGATCGTTTATCTTCTAATCCAGAGTGTCACCTGTTCTTCATTTACCAGTCAATAACCATTAATTATGCTCAGTGGAAAGTTAAACAAAGCCCTTCCCCTCTGTTAAAACCAGTAAACTATTCAGTAATAACAAATAAATCTGGAATTGTATATCCTTTCCCTTCCCATTCCCAGACTGGAGTCTGGTACAATATGAACTTTAGAGGAAATGCCTAGAAATTGATAGGTTAAAGGCCACAGATAGTCTGATGGAAAAGAAAAGGGCAGATTCTTGGCCCTGGCTTTCACGCAAGTGAGAGGCTCCGACTGATCCCCAGATTCCTGCAGGGAACAAAACAAGATCAGGGGGCTGGGCCATGTGTAGAATGAGCCACCATTGACAAGCAATTGTGTTTCCTCTTTCACTTTTCAAAGCCCTTGTTTTCCTTCACATGATTAAACCAGGGTTTTTCTGCAACCATTCTAGCAAAAGAGTGTCCTTAAAGAAAGAAAATTTGCCAAGTGGTCCTGAAAGACTTACTTGAAACATTTGTTTTTTAGAATGGAAAAGTGAGTGAAACACATTTAAGTGTATTTACTCTGTTACGTATAATCCCTTAGAAAATGTTTACAGAAATTCTATTCAGAGGAATAATTTAATTTTTCCTAAAAACTCCAAAAATATTTTGACAAATGCCAAAACAAGTTTGTGTGTGTGTGTGTGTGTGTGTGCACACGCATGTGTATATGTGTGCATATGTATAGGTGTGCACTGGTCTTGCTCAGAGAGTTACAGAGTGGTTTGGTCAGGAAGGGTGGTCAAAGGGCAGCTGCAGCCTGGTGAGGTCACTGTGTTGTGCGCTGCTCATCACAGAAAACCTTGATGAGACAGTGCCAACTCACTCCAGGGCTGGACCTGGGACCCAGGTCCAGGATCTAGAAGGAGAGGTCAGCGTCCTCTGACAGATCACAAGAGAGCGCATTCTAGGCTCAGGCCCTCCCGGCAGGGTGCAGACCTGCGCAGAGTTCCCCACCTGCATGTGGCCTGTTCCTCCTCTCAGTCGTCAGCTCTTCACAGCCTGTAGGGCCAGCAAGTGTGGACTGCATCTGCGAGGTGCACTGTCCCTATACAGGGAACGCCTGCATTCGATGCCATTATAAACTGATCAAGCTTTATCAGTAGTAGCAGGAGTACAGCATTTAAAAGTGTTGTCACTACATTCATCACCTCTGATCTCTTAATGCAAAATGAGACTGCAGGTATTTCATGAACATAAACAAAACTGTCTCTCCATCAAGGCAGGGTCCTCTGCCATTAACTTTATGGTGGGTCACTGACTTGAAATAATTGCCTTTGTCCCCACCAGTGGACCTCATTTTAAGGCATGGGAAGCTGCCTTAACTGTCACCTTCCACAGAGCAGAAATAGAAATCAAACAGAAAAAGTATCCAAATAGTCATCTTCCTTAAAACAAAAGCATGATTTCAAATAATTTCATAGTAGACCAACAATATGAAAATATCCATAAGGAGCAAATTAGAGTAAAAGGGAAATAGAGTTTTTTTTAGGAAGTTGCCACAAATTCACAAATATAAATAAATAAATAAACAAACAGGGATTAATAATTTTGGTGGCGTTTTCTAAGGGAAAATAAGCTGGGGCTTATTTATTTCAGTAATGTGTTTTTGAGCTTCTCTAAAACCAGCCTAGTGTTTACCAAATGTGAGAGCAAGGATTCAGTGGGACAGTGTCACAAGAGTGCTTGTGCTTCTTAGCCAGTTCATTTTGAAAATGGGTGACAGTGACGGGGAGAACCATTTTTTACTTGGATCATTCTCTTTGTTTTGTTTTGATTTTTCCTTTCCTTTCTTTTTTGTAGTGCTGGGATTGAACCCAGAGTCTCGTACATGCTTAGCACATGCTCTGTGCAGCACCACCATGCTACACCCGCTGCCTTGGACTTGGATCTTTCTCAAGGGGCCAGGTTCCTCTCTACCAGCTAAACTTAATTTTTTAAAACTCTGCATCTGGAACTGTGTAAAATGCTTTATAATTAACATCTGGTGCCACACTATGGAAACTGTCAGCCTACATGCTACTGATAAAAGCTTTTTCTAACTGCATAAATACAGGTCATGGTTGGTGCCACCAGCCTGTGTCCCAGAATGCTGCAGGACTTTTGGCCTAGCTGGCCCCCTTGTTCCCACTGAGAATTGTAGCTCAATGAGATGTCCGCCGTGATCACTGCGGCAAAGCTGAGTCCCGGACCTGAAATGATGCTACCTTAGGAAACCCTTAACTCTGGTGTTAATGTATTCATTGCCTCTCAGATAACTGATTGTTTCTCTGTTGATGATCATCTATTTTACTTTTCAAATGATAGATTTTCAACTTCATGGTTAAAAAATGAGTTCATACTTTTGAAGAGTTTAATGATTGAATTCATAATCTCAGTACAAATGATTTTTCCTTACCTGCCATTGATGATGTGCATGAACATTAGTCCTTTGGAATTGTTCTTTCATGAACATACCATAAAAAGCCTCTTAGCCAAAGAGATTATAAAAGGTTTGCTCACAAATATACTATAAAAAGGTTTCTTGTCACAGATACTGTTCAACGTCATGTTCCCATAAGTTATGGTGCAGGGACCTATTGCATATGACTCACCAGGGACGTAAAAGATTCCTGCCAAGGCCTCACCTCTGCAGCCGGGGCCCAGGCATCTATACCCAGATAGTCCCCAGATGTCTGCAAGGCACACAAAAGTGTGTGCACCATCACAGCAGGGTTGCAGCACTGCATTCAATTCACATTCAGTTTTCTGGTTGCCCCTGTCCAGAGTGGCTGCTGAATGTGTCACATGGATCTGCCTCTCTCTCTAGGCTATGTGGCTGATGTTGCAGAATGATGAGCCGGAGGACTTTGTCATCGCTACTGGGGAAGTCCACAGTGTCCGTGAATTTGTGGAGAGGTCCTTTATGCACATCGGCAAAACCATCGTGTAAGTATGGCTGGGAGGGGCTTGATGCTCAGCTGAGACATCCCTGGCAGGCACATGTAACTGCTCCCTCCTCCTGGTCAGCTCTGTTCTCCTCTTCCCCTTTCCACTCTTGGAAAGCTGGCCCTGCATTCTGAGTGACTGCATCCAGCCCTGCTTACTGTAGGTGTCAAATGATTGTCAGCATCTAAACCCAGTTTTTTCGAATTCTATTTATGTCTTACTTTAAAATTTTATTTTTATGTTTCCAGTGTTAAGTTTTTATTGTGATATAGTTGTCATCTTTTGCTATTCATTGCTATTGATTTTACTGTGGCTAATTGTACTTTTACTAGCCCAATGAAATAACATTACCCAGTCTTTTGTACTACTTTCATTTTATATTTCTAATAATTGAGGCCATCACAAATTTACAGAAAAGTTTAAAATACATTACAGTCTTATCTGAACCACTGAAAGTAAGTTATGGCCTGATGCCCCATCATCCTGAATCTGTGTGTGTTTCCTACGAACAATGACATTCTCCCGCATAAATGCAATACACCCATCAAACTCAGGAAATTCACAGTGATAAATTACTCCCATATAATCCTCAGAGCCCATTTGAGTTTTGGCCGTTGGACCAATGCAGTACTTTATACCAGATGGCCCAGTTTATAATCATGCCCTGCACTTACCTGTTGCATTACTATTCAAGTTTTTAAGTCAGATTTTCATATTCTGACCAAAATATTTGAAGGATATTTGGATGGTCCTTATACATGAAAGAGCCTTCTCTTTTGATGAGTTTTTTATGGAGGTAAAATACAGATAATGTTAAATTTTCCATCTTACTTGTAGAGTTTAGTGGTATTAATTACGTTCATAATGTGCACCCATCACCTCTATCCATTTTCAGAACTTTTCCATAATTCTAAATAATAAATCCAGCTTCCCTTTCCCTCCAGTAACCTCTATTTGCTCTCTCTATAAATTTACCTATTCTAGGAACCTCATATGAGTTGAGTCCCTCCACATTTGTCCTTTTGTGTCTGTCTTATTTTGCTTAACACAGTGTTTTCAAAATGCACTCATGTTGTGGCAGTCACATCTCTGTAAGACTGAATTTAATCCCGTTGGTGCTTGCACCACATCTTGTTGATCTCATTATATGTCAATGGATGCCTGGCTGTTTTCACCTCTTGGCTGTTGGGGATAATGCTGCTATGGACCTGCATTTAGAAATACCTGTTTGATCCCTGCTTCCAGCTTTTGGAGGTCTGTACTTAGAAGTGGAATTTCTGGGTAACATGGTAGTTCTGTGTTTGACTTTTTGAGGAACCACCAAACTATTTTCCAGAATACTTCTACTTCTAGCCATGATGAAATAAAAGAAAATAGATTTAATTCTTTGTCTTAAATAAAAAAAGGAAACTAGATAAAATATCAGCATTGGATGGCAGTGGAAGTCACTCCAATATATATCATAATCAAAACACTGAAACTAAATAGTAATGAAAAAAATATAAGAGCTCCTAGAGAAGAAAAATAATCATTTATAGAAGAACTAATAAAAAACTTTTTGTCAGAAAGTATGAAAGACAGAAGGCAATAGATCTGTGTCTTTAAAGTGCTAACGGAAGTCTTCAAGTTAGAATTCTGTACCTAAAAATATATTCCAAAAGATAGACGTGAATTAAAGAATTTTCCCATGCAAACAAAAGCTGAGATGATGCATTGCAAACAAAAAAATATGTGGACCACAGCTAAAGCAGTGTTTAAGAGGCAATTTAAGGCTTTGAATACCAATATTAAGAAAAAAGCAAGTTACTTGACCAGCAATCTGATTTCCCATATCATGAGTTTAGGAAAGGAAGAGCAAATTAAATTCAAAGAAAACAGAAAGAAGGAATTGATCAAGTCAAAATGGCTATCAATGAACTAAAGAACAGAGAAAATGCAAATTATAAATATTAGGGTTAAAAATGGGAACATCACTAAAGAACCCTCAAACCTTAGTAAAATAATAACAATTAGTAGAATAATAAAGAGATATTATGAAAAATTGTTTGCCTGTCCATTTGTCTAGTTGAAGGACAAATTATGGATATATTTTATGACAGACAAGAATTGCCAAGACTGACTACAGAAAAACTTAAGATCTTAATCATTCATTCTATTCTTGTTAAAGAAACTGAATTTCGCTAGTGAATTCTAGCAAGTATTTAAGGAAGAAAACAATGCTCTTGCTGTATATATTTGGAAGGGTGAACATATCCCAACTCTTAATGGGACCAGCACTACCCTGGTACTAAAGAAATATATAGTATTCCATATAAACAAAGAAACAAAAAACTCACTTATTAAATATAAGCGAGTTGAATCTATAAATGTACAAAAAGTTAATACATCGTGACCAAATGGGATTTATCTCAGGAATGCAAGGTTGGTTTAACATTTGGAAATGATTTTAATTCACCACATTAAGAAAGCAAAAGAGATCGACATGGTGGCATAAACCTGTGATCCCAGCTACTTGGGAGACTGAGGCAGGAGGATTACAAGGCAAGGGTTTCTTAGGATACATTTTTAAAATGTGGGTGTGGGATGTAGCTTGGGAATAGCTTGCTAAGATACATGAGGCCCTGGTTCAGTACCCTGCACCTCAAAGAAGAATACAGATTAAATGAGTAGCACAATTTATAATCTCTGCTCTTTGAAAGGGACTGTTAATAAAATGAAAAGTCAAGTCACAGTCTGGGAAAAAAATAAGTGTGATCCATATAGCTGATAAAATATGCATATATATCTAGAATGTAAGAACTCCAAAAATTTACATTAAGAAGATAACTCAATTTAAAATGAGTTAAATTCTGAACTAATAGCTTCATGCAAGAACATACACAGATAGCCATTAGGCATTCTGAAAGGTGTCTGAACCCTTGCCATTCTTCCTTCCTGGAGACACTGTCCTGAATTTAGTCATCATGAGTGGTCATGATATCCTCTTGTGCTAAGGTCCTAAGGGCATAAGTGCTGATTTCTTTTTTTAAGCCCACAGTCTTCCCCAAACTGGTATGCTATTCTAAAATAGAACACCATGCCTACCTTCTCTAGAAAATACTGCATCTACAAGCCCACTTGGAGAACTACTGATCACCATGGCATGATTAAAAGTCTCCAGTAGAGGAAGTACATCACTGTGCTGAACCTGGCCCTTTCCAGGCTTACACTGTACTTTTTGGTGCTGGGAATCAAGCCCAGGGCCTTGTACACCCCTCTGGGAAATGGAAGCCCCAGCTAAATGCAAAGAGAGCAAAGGAAGGTATCACTTGGCTTTTGAGTTTTCAAGATCCCTAATTCTGATGGAAGAAAGCTAGATTTGGAGGATTTTTCAAGGGAATTTCTCACCATGTACAATTTTGGTTTTAAACTCTGTCACTAAAAGCTAATCCCCTACACTGCAGCATCTTCCCAAGTTGCTTGGGTCTGCAGCTGTAAGCAGTTGATACCAGTGCTGTAGTCTCACTCCCAGTCAGCCTCCCTCAACGCTCACAACAGCTGCTCGGGACAGGCGTTCTGCAGGTGCTTCAGTGAGCACAAGTGTGTAGTCCCCAGAGCCAGCTTGTCCAGAAAAACCTGCCAGGATTGCCAGGTGTCACCTAATCTCCCTGGTGCCATAGTCAGCGTGACTGATTGTGTATGGCGGCGATGCTATAGGGAAGCCACCACTCTTCCTCCTAGAAGACCTGATTCAGTCAAGGGAATGGAGAGAGGAGGGAGGATGAATTCAAGAGAAACTTCGGATCAACAGGATTTGATGAACAATTAGATCCAGAGGCACCAGGAGTGGCAACATTAAGATTGAGAGCTTCTAAGTTCAAGGTCCTGAGTTTGATCCCTGCTACCAGGAAAAAAAATTAAAAGCTTCTGTATGTGGGGGAGCCTCAAAAAATAATAAATAGATTGCCTCCCTCTCACAGTTTTCTTTTTTTGTATATCTTCTTTTTTTTTTCTTTTCCATTAACTTTATTGGTATATTTTAGGTATACAATAGTTACATTCATCATTGGGATCTTGTACCTTTACATGACGTATCTTGGTTCTTATATTTTCCCCATTCACCTGCCCTCCCTTCACCCTTTCCACCCTTCCCTATTTACAAAGTCTTTGTTTTCATGTTTTCCTTTGCTCATATTTTTTCTTTTCTATTCTTTCTTTCCCCCTACCCCTCCCACTTCCCCTACTCCTTTACCCTTTTTCTTCCTATTTCACAATATCAGTTATACATTCTGATCCTTATTTACACTGTTAAGTTTTTCACACCAGAGAAACTGTTCAGTATTTACACATGTGTGTCCTATTTATTTCACTTAAAAGTAAGGTCTCAACCTCTCACAGTTTACACCTGCTGTGCTTCATGTGTTGCAAAGGAGTTAGAGGGCTGGGTGCACCTTGGTGGTAGTGAGCTTGCCTAGTATCACACCAAAAAAGAAAAAAACCAAAGTTATAGATATTTTCCCTTAGCTTCCAGACTTTTCCTGCAACCTCACAGCATATGACTCTTCTTTGCCAAGCACACTAATCAGTGTCTGGAACATCTTCACTTGAGTTGTTTTAAGATCTGTTGCCTGTCTATTTAGGCTACTGTTTTTGTAAATCCTTGATGTGTTGTAATGTCCACTGAAAAGGCTAGACAGCTGTGTTACAGTATTCCCTCTTGAAGTCACTGATGTCATGTGGGTGATTTTTGCTTTGAATATAATAGGAAATAACACATTGATTTGAGTTTGGGTTAGTGGAAGACACTCAGAGGAGCAGATCAGTACCTTGTGCAACACTGATAAAGTGCTTAAATTTTCATGGGGACCTTTGTGTTTGGAAGGCAGCCTTGTGACAGCAACTGTTTCCATCTAAGAGCATCACAGGGTATGTGTGTGTGTTTGGGGGAAGGTGCATCATGGGGGGCTCTTTTTAGTGCTGTGCTTTATTGCAGTTTCCTGTCAACTTTACTAGTAAGTAAT